ATATTAAATAGGGGAACTTGTCGGCCAATACATTGGTTTCACAGACCAAACGGATGTCATAACTTTCTTTAGTTTATTTGATCGAGTCTCACTCTCAATTCTTGCGTTCATCCTTCGGGATAGATACATGATTTGAGATAAAATGTTCTTTCATCTAAACTATGAAAATTATGGGGTTAGTTTGACTTCATCTTTTTCAAAACTAAATTTTTTTTAAAACGACCTTCCGAAGCGGGCAACGGGATTTCAATTCCGATGACCGACAACTTCTTACGGGCAAACCCCACACCAAAAATAGTGCCGACACACATGGAGAAACACGAGAACTTTTCATTGAATGAGACTTTAAAACCATGCAAACAGAGTACCAAATTCAAATCAAAATAAAATGAAAATACTTATATTTAATGGAAATCAAACTCTTCTTGTATAGAAAAAGCAATCTCCTTACACTCCTCTCCAAGAACAAATTGAAAAGAAAAATAAGAAATCTCTCGCTCTCTCTCTTTCTCTCTCACCTTGTCGCCCCACTCGACGCTCTCTCTCAAGCCTTCTTCTTCTTCTGAAAACCTTCTTCTCCTCTTCTAATTAGTTCAGGAGTGCTTTTAAAAACATTTCCAAGCCTTATTTATAATTTTCTAAGAGGTGCTTAAGTGGCTCTTCAAAAGTGTCCATATTCAATGAATCTTCCAAATTATGCCTCAAGTGCCTCTTCAAAAGTCTTCAAAAACTTCCTTCTAACCACCCCAAATCCTTCTCCAAATTATATTTTAATTCTAGAATGTCCATTTTATTAATTCCAATGAATTCCCTAAGAGACACACAAAGCACCGCTTCAAAAGTCATCCAAATCCAATGTATATTCTAGAAGATATGTTGACCTCTGGTGCTTAAGCGCCAATTTTGGGCGAAGCGCCCTCCTTTCTACCTGGTGGAGCCTAAGCACCAAATACAAGAACTTAAGTGCCCAGCTTCAGCCCCCATGGCTCTGGTGTGCCCCGGTTCGACCCTATTTGTTGTGGTTTGCTCCATTTATGTCCATTTTTGTTCTTTTTGGTCCAATCACTCCAAATTCTTCAATTTGATATATTTTTAAAGTTTTAGTATTTATTTAATTCCAAAATACCCTATTTATCTACTTATCTGAGTCGACGTTGCATCATCATCTGCTTCTTCAAATGTACATATGGTGGCATTTGATTAACAGCGCTTTACACATCAGTTGGCCACGTGTTCCGCAGTTTCTGCTCTAAGTCCTCATGTGGCGTAATCTGGTCTGTTCGTTTGATACACGCGAAAATGGACAAAAACCATTCACTGTCTCTGTTCCTCCTAACCCAAGAACTATCTGTGTTCTAGACCTAATATCTCACTCGATTCTCAATCAAATCACTCGAGATTTGATCCTACACCGTCATATTAGTGAGGCGAACCTATTTGTACGATCCAATAAGTATGAAATACAAGTACACTTCACAATCGATGAAATAGATATAAAATTTAGAGATTTTGAGTTATACCTTAGCCCAAGAGACGAGGCCTTGATTGGGTTGGTTGGAGACGATCGTCTTAAGTCCCTAAAGCTCCTCGAAGTGTTGCCTCGAGCTGAGAAGCAGTCTAAGTATGATTTTGATCGGAGGGTGACTTAGGCTTGGTATAGGACTATGTTTGTTAGGGTGCTCGACTTAGGCTTGGTATAGGACTATGTTAGGGTGCTCGGGAGAGGGGGCTTTTGATTGAGGAGATGGTTTTGAAGTGCAGGAAGCTTATGAAATTGTTAATTTGAAACTTTGAGAGGTTTGGCAAAATGATCGAAAAGGTCCTGGATTTGGGCGGTGAAATTGAGCTTGGACAGTGGGAATGGGTAGCTAAAGATGGTTGAATTGCACCTAGGAGGTATGTGAGAAGCTCAGGAAGCAATTGGGCTGAGTTTCCCTTAGATTTTGGATGACCTCTAAGTTTGGTGATGGAAGGGGCACCAACTATATCCTATTGACTCAGAAGTTATGAAGCTCCCAACTTTGGCATTTGTGGCCTACGATCGATATCACAATTGTCTACTACGGTTGATGTGGCTAACCAAAGCTTCTGAAGTAGCCATTTATGACCTACATACTAACTGTTGTGATAACTTTCAACTATGACATATATGACCAACAGACGTTACAACCACCATTTATAATATTAACAATGGAGTAATGCTTCCATAGTAATGGGTTGCAACCTTTACGACCCATTACGACTGTTATTATTGAACTACCATTGTTCATCAACATTGTAATTCCATTTTTTTTAAATTTAAGAGAAGAGTGAGTCTATATACTTACAATCACATTCTCGATAATTTCAACAGGGCTATGTTCTGTAGTTTTTTTTCCATTTCCAAGTATTTCCAAGTAAAAATTTGAGGTGTCTCCCCTTGCTTGCTTCTCTTTCATCTTTGTGTGTCATATCTTTGTCCAACGCAAAGAAGCTAAATCATTACGCAAAGAAGCTAAATCATTACTCTACCATTGTGAATCTTCTGACACGTATCAATTTAGCGTCTTCTGTGGGAAATGATGCCTTGTTTGACATATTCTTGAGGTTTGAGACACTAAGCCTCTACTTCTTTATATTCTTCAATATGAGGGGAAACCTTTGTTGTAATATCAAAATGTCTTTCACTTTAACATCTTGGGCATGATTGTGATGGGGTACTCTTCCCACATCTTATTTAGGAACAAAGTCTATGAAAACTACTTCCAAGCGGGAGGTAGCTTCACTGTAGTCTCGAAAGGGTGTTCACATTAACGTTTTAGGCATGCTTGTGGTGAGGTAGTCATCCCACATTTAATTCAAAACATCAAATCTTTGAGAAGTATCTCTGGGCATTCTTAATATTATTATTAATTTAAATAAAATCAAGAAAATAATAAATATAAAACCCATTTATAATACTTCAGTTGTGGGGAACATTTAGTATAAGATATATTATATATTTTTCTCTCTTTATTTTGAGCCTTATGCATAATTTAATCTAATAAGAGCTAACTGCAATAATAATATTGAAGGAGGAGAAACCATTCAGCCATCATTACGTTCTTTTAAAGTGGTAGGTAAAGCCTCATGTAGATATATATATTAACAAGTTTAATTGTTGTTTATTTAATTGGTATGAAGTTGTTAGATAAATTATTAAATTATTTTTCATTAAAACTTAAAAATATTTATTAATATGAGAAATCAACAACTCGTTATTTCCTCAGCTTATTCATTAGCTCTTTTAAATAATCATTTAATAAATTTTAAAAAGTCAAATACAAACCTACGATTCTCATAATAAAGAAGAATAGTAATGTAAGTCTAGACATATATGTGAAAACTTAGTTGGAAATCGAACTAAGCATGTATACCATTTAATGTGATCAAGCAATTACAATTCATTGTGTGCTTGACTTGACTCAATTTGATTGCAAATCTTATCCTTACACATTAGATTTCTAAAATGCATTCAAGTCATAAGATTTAATTCATCTAAAACATCTAGTTGTTAAATACAAGCAAGCATTTCCATCTTTACTTATAGATTCATGGATCAAAATATAAATAACAACTTTAATGAGAATATAACTTTTATTTTGCATATCAACAAGCACAATGTTACTTAAATTCTAGTTTTATATGTAAAACATTAAACTTCTTTGTGTGCGTCCGTATATATATCAATAAGTTAAAAAATTAAGTGTTTTTACCACAACTTTAAATTCGTAATAAAATTATCGCTTTCCTGTCAAATTCTCATTATTTAAGGTTCCACCAACTTCTCAACTCATTTATTATGATCCTTAATTACAAAAATAAGAAAAAATTATCAAGATTTGCAATTAAAACCCAGAACTCCACAAAGTAACACAATTAATCTCCATGACAAACCACACTTTAAACCCAAAATTCTCCCCAAATACTTCCCCAAATCAAGCAAGGCCACATTTGATTTAAAGCTAAGATTCATAGCTTCAAAATGACACAAATATCTCTGAAATTCATACATTATTGCTCACATTATTTCACAAATAAGAGAGAGGAAAAACACACCTAGCTAATTTCCCATCCTCTCAACCTCACCCCTCTTCATTCACCTCACAATAACTAACAGCCGTTGATCATAGTAAAATCCAAGGGCCCTCATTTAAATTACTCCCATCAAAGATCCGAGTCCAGTTTCCATCCACCAATTGATCGCTTCCACGTGTCTCTTCTTTGTCGTTTCCTCACTATTTAAACGCCATTTGCTTCGCAAAATCTCCGCCTCGCCATATCTGGGTTCTCCATTCTCATCAATCAACATTTCAAACGCTAGCCCTCGCACCAATTTTAATCCAAATGGCGAGAGAAGAAGTCTCGCGTGCTGCACCAGCGAAGGCTTCGGCTCCTGCAAATTCCGCCGGCAATCGCAGGAAGACAACTAATTCGCAGAAGGCCAAGAAGAAGAACCCTAGCAACCTGCGGTCTAGTTCCGCACACCCAACCTATCTTGAGGTATTTAATCATTATAATACATATTCTACCCTTATTTTTCCGATCTGATGCGATTGTTGTGATGGGGCCTAACCCTAGATGATTGGAGAGGCAGTCACTTCGTTGAAGGAGAGAACGGGATCGAGCCAGTACGCCATTACCAAATTCATCGAAGACAAGCACAAATCACACCTGCCATCAAACTTCAGCAAGTTACTTCTCGTCCAGCTCCGAAAATTTGTAGCAAGTGGAAAGCTCACTAAGGTGAAGAACTCGTACAAGCTCCCTGCGAAAACTAAGAAACCCTCTGTTACTGAGCCAACCAAGACAAAACCGAAATCGGCCGTGGCCGCCAAGTCTAAGGTGAAGGCGACCGCCGTGGCAAAGCCCAAAGCGGCTGTGAAGGTCTCAAAACCTAAACCTAAGACTGTTGCAGAGAAATCCAATAATCGCCCTGCTAAGGTGGCGAAGACTTCTGCTAAACAGACTCCTGGGAAGAAGGTTGCTGCGTCAAACAAAACTGTTGCTGCACCAAAAAAACAAGTGGCTAAAACGACGAAGAAGGTGAAGAGTGGGAATTCTGCAGTTAAGGTACCGGTAAAGAAGGCTTTGGCTAGAAAGGCATAGTAGGAAGTACGTAATTACGGTTTTATGTTTTGTTTAGTTTTTATGCAAGGGCAGTGTTTGTAAATTTAACTCTGTTACAGGGGCTATGCTGACATTTTATATGTAACTAAACCTTTTTCTCTTCTGCCATATATTTGATCACTGACCCATGTAATCAACAAGCTTTCAGCTTATATTCTTCCTCGGTTTTTTGGTTGGAAAATTGACGTGCATACACAATAGTTACATATCGAACAGTGAAAGTTCGATATTTATTTTAATAAATTTTTATTTTAAAATAATGTTTTTTTTTCGATGAAGTTAAATAGAAGTCGTGATTCAAGTGTTATGAATGTAAAGAAAAAAAAGAAATTTTTGATGTTCAATACGTAAAATACGTATAGGAATTCGGTGAATATATGTAAATGCCCATTTTTTATTGGAGAAATATTTGTGTATGTAGGGCTGTCAAAAAAACTCGTTGTTCGGGGATAGTTTGTGTTCGATTCGTCAATGAGTTCGTGTTTGATTTGTTCGTTTGATAAGTAAACGGGACGAATGTGAACAAATTTTTTTCGTTCGGTTAGTTAAATTAACCAAACACGAACAATTCGTGTTCGAATTTTTATTGTTCGAAATATAAAAAAAAAATTAAAATAATTATATATAAAAAAATTATGATATTAATATAGATATTATATATTTATATAATATAAGTTATATAATTAATATAATATATTATTTATATATATTAATATTAGAGATGTCAAACTGACTCGTCATTTGCAAACAGTTGGTGTTCGGTTCGTGTTCGGTTCGTTCGTTAAGAAATGAACACGAACAGTGACTTTACGAATAATTTCAAACAAATTAAATTTCAAACGAACCGAACACGAACACAAGCTCTGTTCGTTCGTGTTCGGTTCGTTTACACCCCTATGTGTATGTTTTACATATGTAGAATTGCGTATATATTAAGTTATTAAAAGAGTATATGTATGTTATACTTGGGATATATTCCTTATAATTTATCTTGTAATCCAAGCGCAACTTATATTTGCATGTCTTATATATATATATATATATATATATATGTAGAGTTGTGTATATATTAAATTATTAAAAAGGTACATGTAGGTTATATTTAGATTATATTTCTTATAATTTTTCTTGTAATCTAAGTGCAACTTATCTGTATCTTCTTAATAACCTAATATGTATGTAATTTTACATTGTTTTACTTACTCAAATGTTTTTTTTTTATTAGGGGGATTTGTTTGATTGTATGGGAGCATTAATTAAGATCATTAATAAAACTTTATGAAAGTATGTATTTGTTGCTAATTGCCTGAAAAGTATTTTTTCTTGCAACTTTTGTCAAATCTGGAGCATGGATATTTTAGAAGTTCATGAATTTATGTATTAAAGGAAAAATACATAAATGTTGAAAGTTTTTTTGTAAGATAAATCAATTTTGTGTGGCATATATTTAAATATTTAACTTATATAATTTGATATAATATATATTTTAAATTTGATTCTAATTAATTTATTGTAGAATAATTAATTTTGATTTTATCTGTTATTAGATGTTTTGGAATGGATGTGAAAGGGAAGTTTGTATGTGCATATGGCCTAGGATATGATTCCTATATATTTATTTATCTCACATCTAAATTGTCATTTTTTCACAATATTTTGACATTTTAAATCAATGAATACAAGAGATAAAAATGTTATTTTTGGTGTCATATTGAATATTTGAGTGCTATTAATTATTAAAGTTTAATTATGAGCTATAAATTATATGTAAAAGTATATGTAAATTTTGTGTTATGTATGAAATTGATTTTCAAAATAACATATTTTTCATAAATGAATAATAAATGAACAAAGCTGACATTTTCCACAAATGTCTTTATTTGTGGTAGGAGACGTTGACATTTTTTTATGCCCATTAAAAGGGAGAAATTATTGCATACGGAGTGTACGATCCTGATCATAGATCACGGTGATCTACGGTCAAGATTATTTCTGTTTAAAAAAAAATTTTTTTTTAAGTGGAGCCTACCGAAATACATCGGACGGATCGGACACGCACGCAAGCTGCGTGCGTTGTCCGATCCGTATCGAATAATTTTTCATTAAAAGGAGTCTATATCCTTCAGCCCATACCGAAGTACTATATATAAAAATAAATATGTTTCAATTAGGCAATCATATTTAGCCACGTAACAAACCTATATATTTCCTAAAATATCCGAATTTTATTGCATTTCTACTTTCATTATGATTAATTAGAATATTTTTATTAATTTATTATTATTTATTCTGTATTGGAATATTTTTTTTTTACAATTACATTCTAATTTTGTATGAATATTTTGCACAAATATAAATAAAAATTATAAGTTGAGACTTTATAATTTCTGTGGAAAATTGGGAGGGAAAAAATTACGGAAATTTCATAGTTAAAATAATTTATTTAATATGTGAAATAAAGAAAAAGTTATTGGAGATGTGATTTTAAAGTGAAGAGTACTTGTTCATTTTGATTATAGTAGATATTGTGAAAGGAGTCGAAAGATATGGATTCATGGTAATGCTTAGGTGATGTCGGTTGAATAATATTGATTGAGTGATAAGAGTAGCGAGATGATTGTAAAACAATGATGGTTGAAAAATAATGATTAGATATGCAGAATTGGATGATAATGATGGTTATTTATCGTTGAAAATAATGGTTGGGAAATGTCAATGATAAATTGTTTATCGAGATAGGGTGACAGATTTGATGATGCATTTAGTTTTTAGGAGTTAGTAGATCGGGGACAGTTGATGCTACTAGTGAGAAAATGGTTATGTAATGATTATTAGATGATGTTGATTATCGTTAGTGTTAATCATCTAACACTGTTATAAAATGTCATCCAATAAACATCTAACACTTCGAGATCCACCCTAAATATGATATGACGCACCCCAAAGTCGGTATAACAATACAACCCAAAGATATTGTAACCACACACTCCGAGTACAATGTAACGACGCACTCCGAAGGTAGTCTAAAAGCGCACCTTAAGTACACTGCAACTCTTCGCAATAACTACTTATAGCCACCGTACTTAGAATATAATGGGCTTCTCCAAACTTCTAAAGTTCTCTCCTCAGTCCTCACTGCTTCTCACTACAACCTACGACCAATGTGATTTACTGCAACGACAACCCCTTATTACGGTTTTGATGAAAAAACGAAATTGTTATAGCTATCTATTATGACCTATGGGACCAACTATGACCTATGTGACTCACAACTCATGTAACTTCTAACTCTAGCTTTTGCAACCTACGAACATTATTACAACTCATCACTGTAACCTATGTGATCAACTACAACCTACGTGTCTGACAACTCATGCAGCTTCCAACTCTACCCTTATGGCTGAAAAACGTTATTCAGTACTGTTGATCAAGGTTTGCATGTGTCTCCTCGAGTTCTTCTCGAAGATCTAGTAGTTCCATTATTGCTGAGAAAGATATATTTTTATGGAGGATATTTCATCTCTCCACTTCGCTAACTGATTTATTAATAACAATATGTGTATTGCATAAGAGTTATTCATCTTTTTGTGCTCGTCAATGATGTGGTTGATTTTTGCAAGCTTGGTCATCCATACCCTTTAAGAAATGAGGGAAGTGTTTCCCTGAACGCTGACATCTTGAAGCATAGAAAATCTTCTTCCGAAAGAGAATTAACAGCATAAAAATTTTCATCTAGAAAGCGCATCAATAAGGTAGAAAATCATTGACAACAATGCAAAAGGAATCTTTGTTGGTCTCACAAAAATAAGATGAGAGGCTTTGAGGTGGGTATCAACAATGCAGAAAGGGAGCTCCATTGAACACAAAAAACAATGATGTGAGACTCCCACATCGACAAGAACAATGTAAAAAAGGAAGCTTCATTGATCGTACAAAAACACTTTGGGAGACTCCAAGGTGGGCGACAATAATGCAAAAGTGAGCTCCATTGATCACACAAAAATAAGTTGGGTGACTCCGAGGTGCACAACAACAATGTAAAAGGAGCTCCTTTGATTGCATAACATAAAGCCGTGAGATTGATCAATGATGTTATTGCCTGCCATCCATTGAATTGCTTATGCCTCCCAAAGTTCGATCCCACGTCGCTCAGATCGCTGATGTGGCTGACCGCCATCCACATCCTGAGATCACTGATGCGCCATCTATCGGATCACTTTCGCCTCCTGCCTTCCACCTCACATCGTCCAATCGGAGGCCCGGCTAACTTGCAACTCATCAGCCTCCTCCCGACTTGTGACTCGTCAATGATACTCCCAACAATCGTCGTTGCCGACCTCTGCTATGGCAACCACCATCGTTTGCCACCGACATGTTGTTGCCACCACCACACCACTGCCTCTTGCTAGAGATATATATGGTTCACTGCAATGATAACTCATTACTATGATAAGATGCTCAAGTGACACTACTATATGTCCCCAATATTGACTATGTGACCAACTACAATCTTCGTGACACACAACTCATGCAACTTCTAACTCTAGCTTCTGCGAGCTACATACATTATTTCAGCTCACCACTACAACATATGTGACCAATTACGATCTACGCGACCCATAACTCATGTAGCTCCCAAGTCCAGTCTCTATGGACTACTAATATTATTGTAGCTCACCACAATAGCCTATATGGTCAACAACTTCCAACTACGACCATCGTGGTCCACAAACATTATTACAACACACCACCAAAGCTTACGCAAACCAACTACAACCTACATGGTCCACAGCTCCAAGCTCTTGGCTTTGTGGCCTATGAATGTTATTACAACTCACCATTACAACCTATACGACCTACTACAACCTACGCGGTCCACAACTCATTATGTGTTTATATATCTAATATTTAAATTTTAATATTTATATTTATCTCACTTAATTTTCATATTACATCAAAAATATTATTATTATTTCAATTTCAAAAACGTGATTATATAAGTAGGCTAGCATGTAAAGGTTAACATTTATGTGTTAGATAACATTTAAAG